CAGAAGCTGCACGCTTCCTAGGGTTGCCGTTAGTGGAACTTGACGACAACGACTGAGATACCAACCGATCTGGGCGGGGTTGTTGTAGCCGCTACAACAACAACAACAACAAGAATTCAATCAGACAAATTTCAGAAAAAACAGCCGAAAACGTATCCGTTTCACATACTGTTGTCTGTACATACGTTTCTGCCGCACACTTTAGTGTGAAAACGGATCGTCAAAGTATCCGGAAATGGAATCAGTAAACGGACAAAAATCCGCACTTTATCCACTTTTTTGTCCTTTTCCGGATCGGTTTTCGGATTTTTTGCTGGCTGGGGTAGTATTTGGCAGAAATATGCACATACGTATGTATTAAACTTCTGCGCAATTCCATTTAAACGGCCTAACAAGACATCCGATCGCCGCGCAAATACTTTCCCTCCTTTACTCTCATCGTTCGGGTCAAGTGTGAGTAAGCATAAACCAGTTTCTGCAAGCGTAAGTAAACTACCGATGAATAGCAAGACGCGTAGAGTATTTACTTTGCCTTCCGCAACTACTGCGAGTAAAAGGTATTTGCAAGTAGAGTACTCTACTGGTAGTACTTAAGTATTTTCGAAGAAAACATACATTTGTGGTATCTGAATCAGGGATGAAATATGGAAATTTCAGATTGTACCTAATATCATAAAATATATGTACCTAAATGAAACAGATTGTATAAGAGTTACATAATTTATTTGTAGTTTTTTCNAAATATGGAAATTTCAGATTGTACCTAATATCATAAAATATATGTACCTAAATGAAACAGATTGTATAAGAGTTACATAATTTATTTGTATTTTTTTTTATAAATTTTATTTAAAACATGAATACAAAAGATGGATGTACTTTAAACATGGTTATGTTTTTTTTTTTCAACTGAGCCTATATCTATAGACTATAGTCTAATGGGAATCGGAGAAGCGTTGTTTTTGTCTAACTACTGACTACTGAAAATTATTGGTGAAAAAGACACGCTTTGCGAAGTATACTTCTTTATCCAGCAACAACACGAAAAGTCTGCTAATTTATCCGATTTTTAATAGGTGCGATAAGTCTAGAGAAAATAATCAAATTGCCGTAAGTAACTTCGAAAGCATTTTAAATATATTTCCCGAAATCAAAAAGCGAATATGGGTCAATAATAATAATTGTACCTAAAATCTACTGAGTGTACCTAATGTACCTTTAAGTCATCAAACGTCGGAAAAAGGTACAATTGTACCTACTTTGTGCAGTATTGATGGATCGTGATTCATATCGCAAAATTTCTAAAAATTTTGAAATCTGGATCGCGGATCGCAATACCGTCAATAAATATTGAACGTGTAGCACTTTCCAAACGCGATCCATACATTTCGTCAGTACATATTTTACTCTCATAATGCGAACATCGGCTCTGCGTTCGCTCTCGGGGCTTAAGATCCTTCAAAAAAAATTTTAATTAACATTGGAGTAAAATCAAAAATTTTTGATTTTTGGGGCAGATTGGTCAATTTGTTGCTCTGTGTCAAGGCGTATTTAACAAGGTGGTGTTGGCCGTATATAAGTAAAAAATTACACTAACAAATTATACGCTGATGTCCATACTGTCATTGGTATGAGTTACAACAAACACATCATTTTGACGTAATGGCCTCCACGGCGAAAAACTCAGCTGGCGCCCCAACACCACCTTGTTTAATACACCTTGCTCTGTGTGTAGACAAGTTGGCAACCTAAAATGCGATTTCATATTTTAGGAACACGTAAAAAATCTGGACCTTTGAGCTCGAGAAAAGAGAAAAAGTGGGCGTGGCCCGCCCCCTTTTTATGATTTTAACGGCATATTTTTTTTGGTGCAAAGTGACAGGGGCGGCGCTAGGGGGGCTAAACGTAGAATTTTCAACATTTTCAAAAGCTCATATTTCGAAAACTGTTGAACCGATTTCAAAAATTTAGACATAGTTTACAAGGTAATTGAAAGACCTTTCATTCGATATCTATGTCTATACATATTATATATACACATTTGGAGAAAACGTAAAAAGAAAAACGAAATTATAATAAAGTTGTTTATAAAAATGTATGTTTTTCGTAAAAAATACGTAATTAACTACATTAACAAATATGTTTGTCAGAAAGAGCACAAAAATACCTTTAAATTGATATATGATTTGTAACCAAAAACTATTCTGCGCATCATATTTGACCAAATAAATATTAAAATATCGTTTTATATGAAAAAGGGAAAAGGAAAGTATGCTTTTATTTAAAAAAGGAAAAAGCGCCGCAGGCGAAAATTTGGAATAAAAAATCGCGCGATTTTTTATTCCAAATTTTCATTAAAGTATACTTTTATTTAAAAAAGAAAAAAAAACCCCGCAGGCGAAAATTTGGAATAAAAAATCGCTCGATAACCCTGTTACAAGAAGAAGAATTGCATATACATACATACGTATTTACATCTCATTCTTGTTTACAAAACGTCTGCTGGGAACCCATTGACTACCTTACGGATTCCTTGCAATTTAAAATGGCATCGGGCTTAGAAGCCTATATTAATCATACAGTGTCTATAATAACTGCGGATGGACGCAATTTTATCGGAACGCTAAAAGGATTCGATCAAACAATAAATGTGATTCTCGACGAGTCTCACGAGCGTGTGTTTTCGACAACTTCAGGTATCGAACAGATAGTTTTGGGGCTGCATATTATTCGCGGAGATAATATTGCAGTGATTGGACTAATCGATGATCAAATTGATTCACGTCTTGACCTGGCCAATATACGGGGGGAACCGCTTGGTCCAGTTGTACATTAGGTCTAAGAAATAAAGAACACAGTATGAGGTTATTATAATTCACGAGTGTTTTATTCATTCTACTTTAAATTTGATTTCCTTACAATCGAGCGTTTCTAAATCTACTACAGCAATGCTTTGAGTTCGCGAAAAGCTTGGGATGCATATCAATCGGGTTATTTGACCCTTGGGACCTTTATGAATTTCCGTTTGAAATGTGTTACAATTTCCAGCGAAATATACATGAGGGCACTCATGTAAAATAAGAGGATCACTACTAACATATGGGTAGCAAGCAAGAGTATCAGGTGCCGTTGGAGCTATATGTCCCCAAACTAGTGTACTGCGTAACGCTTCCAAAGGCTTCTCTATCATTGTGCACCTTAATAGGTCGTGCACATTCTGTCCCGAGCAACCAACTATTTGAGTATTGTCTAAAGCGCAAGCGTAGGGATTTGAAACGCTGCGAAATGAAGCATTTTGAGATGCTTCAGGAAACATAAATTGATGAAATGGCTGCTGAGGGAGCATATAATTGGCTGGATCATGCGCTCCCGGCATAATATCAGTAGAAACACCTTTTGACCAATGAGCCAACCAACGGTCTAAACAGCGCACTGCCTCTACCGCTACACTATTTTCTGTGTTACGAGGTTGTA